CTACAGCTTATCAACCATTCGCAGGTTATTTAAAGACATAAAATATTTTTTAGATTGTAAAAAAATTTTTTCTTTGAGGCTGTAATGGTTTAGTGATACAAGTCTTATTAATTAACCCATAGCTGGAGAAGAGAATAGGGAGATTCATACCTTTCCCAAAGGTATTTTTGTATAAGTGAATATAACAAACCCAACAGGAATTAGAACTCAGCTCTCCAATTAACAAAGCTAAGCTATTTATCTATTACACCAGCTGCACACCCAAGCTTACAGCACATGGCATTCCCAATACATTTCTCTGGTAAAATCATTAACAATATAAATCTATCATTACTGATTTTTTGCATAAGAAATAATAAGAAACCTATTCTATCAGCAAGCTCTGTTGGTGGGATTTACAATATGCCAACTCTGTCCCCTACAGAGGAGTAAGAACCCCCCCCCTAGAAAAGAGACCACCTTTGAGGTGGATACTTATAGATTCAGATATAAACTTGACATATAAATTGACATGTAAATTGGATATATGTCTACCAATCTAATTATTCATTATGATTTTTGTCCTATATGCCTTATATTCAATATTAAATAAACCAACAAGAGTCAATATTTTCTGTTTGAATTTCTAAATTTTACTTATCATTATTTACCATCAAGCTAATGCCCTCATCTTTGTTGTTATCACGACGTTTCAACCATTATGTCTGCCCTCCAGCCTTCTTCAGGTGTCTCTCAATCCAAGTAAGGATAGTGTTATAGACAAGCGTATGGTTGCAAGAAAGAAATACAACAGCAGAAATAGATTTCCGTGGTTTATTTCAATAGGAACGTGTGGTTTTGGGACAGCTACCTTGTGATATAGTTCATAAGCCAGTTGCCGATCTGGGTTGATCTCTCATAGTAGTTCTCACTGGTTGGCGTGGCGCTCCTGCTGCTGACTGACCATGACAGGTCTCTTCTCTGGCCTCCTGTTGACTGCTGTTGTACTTCACCATGTGACCCCTTTTATGGCGTTTTTTATGGCTTAAGAGGCTCGAAAAACGACGCAAGTATAATTAGGAGGGGAAGCATTTTTATTGGTCGAAAAATAGAAACACTTTAAAATATTATTTTATTTTTCGACCGGAACTTGTGCATCGGGGCTATGCATAAACGACGATAATGGTCATTTTGTGACGGGGCCTTGTCCCATTCACATCCGGCTCTCGCTCTTGAGTATGTTAGTTTATTTGCCTGCAAATCAGCCAAGATATTTCTTATTTTATTTTATAACAAAAGGGTCTCAAGCCTTGAATGGCAACCTTCCTACAGATTGTATCTCGATAAAAACACTTGGTGTGCTTAGACTAACGTTAGTTTCTGATTTAGACGTCAGGAAGAGCATCCAACCTTGTAAAACTTTACCTCAAATCATTATGACAAATTTCCAGGTAGCACCTATCTTGCTTTGCATGAGATTAATCCTAATCCACTCACAACAACAACAAAAATCATGGTTATGTATGTTCTTTGTAGATGTTGCATGAAGTGAAGATAAAGTCTGATTTATGAAATATCAGGTACATTAAGGAAGCTTTGAAAGGATATAACATGTGTACTGCATTCAAAATAATATTCAATCTGTGCTGTACTGCGGCTACTCCCCTAATCCAAGGTCCCAGTGACCCACAGACAACTGCAGAAATAAACAATATATAAGTTCTACTTACATCAAAGGAAAGCTATAAAGTTCTTCCTTGAATTGACAAGAAAGGAAAGGTTCTCAACTTAAAAAAACACAAAAAAATAATCCTATGCTTATGTTGTTAAGACCTACAGTAAAAATGAGTATCTTTGTCACATAGCTTTTACAATATGTTATAATTATTCTATTTTATTATTTAATTATATATTAATTCCTGATCCTGAACATCCTGGGTATGACGTTAAACTGCATCCAACAGCAAGGCCTCTGATCAGGAGGTTTTGAGGAGTGTGGAACCACCTCTTAATTACGGGTGTTTCCAGGTCCAACCTGACCCGGGGTGGTAGCACCTGTTAGGGTCCCAGCTATGTGCAAATAGTGAACTCCTAGTTTTTCCCATCATATATCCACGTCTTGGGTATGACGATAAACTACATCCACGTCTTGGGTATGACGATAAACTACATCCACGTCTTGGGTATGGCGATAAACTACATCCGTGTCTTGGGTATGGCATTAAATTACATCCGCGTCCTGGGTATGACAATAAGCTATGTCCAACAGCAAGGCCTCTGATAATGTTTTTGAAAAAATAATGTTGCCAGCTATATGTTTTTGAAAAAATAATGTTGCCAACTATATGTTTTATAGTACTATATATTTAATATATATATATATATATATATATATATATCTCTAACTAAACTTGGCATTAAATGACCTACAGTGGTTGATATGCCATAAAACCCTACCACCCACCCAGCCAACCAACCTGACCCTGAAAATCTCTTTCTTCTTTTTTTTTTCTATGCACTATATACAGTGAATGCTGAAACCTGCTAAAACAAAATTTAGGTAAAAAAAATATCAAAATTTGGTTTAACACTCATGTGTTTTTTTGTTTGTTTTTTTTTTTAATTCACCATCAGAAATATTTAATTCATTAACTTAAAAAAATTTAACAGAGGTTTAATTTCACAGTTAAATTATTTTGCCAATAAGTTGTCACATATTAATATTGATAATATATGAAAATTTTGTAGAATGGGAATATGACCTTTCCTACTAAAAGTTGAAATTGAGATTTTACTGAATGTAAAAAGAGTTTAAAAAAAGAAAATAATTTTAGTCTCAAAGGGTTAAAAAAAATGAATAAATAAATAAATACAAAAACATGACTATTATTTTAATTTGGAAGTAATTTTTAAAGTTTAACTTGAAAACTTAGAAAATAAACAGGAAGGAATGTTATTTAATGTGTCTAAATATAATGTTTACTTTTTTATTTTCTGTTTGACAAAATCTAAATGTGCATCTGTCTTTCTGTAATGTGATTGGTTAGTAAATACTTTTGTGTGATTGGTTAATCTTGGGAAACAACTGATTTGCCTGGATTCATTTATATCGCTGTATATTTAATAAACTGAAATAGGCTGAAGGGGGAAAAATCCCTAAAATTGATAAAAATCTAATTTCATTTGATTACGAACTAAGTGAACTAATTTTGCTGTTGTAGACTGAAACATGTTCGAGGCTTCAGTTGGAAAAGGGCCTACACTGCAATTGTAATTATTATTTTTGAGGGAGGGAATAGGTTTTTCTTTTTTTTTTCTTTTTTTTTTTTTGCTTTAAATTCATTTATCTTTGATTTTGTTTTTCACATCCTGTCAGATGCATTCACTAATGAGAAAATGCTAGCTTCTCGAATCTCATGAGAACTTTGTAACTTAAATTAGCAAAGTCAACTTAATAAGAAAAAGATACCAGGAACATAGCGAAAAAAAAAAGAAAAAAAAAAGACATTTCAGAAAACCCCAATTTCAAAATATTTATAAAATGGAATATTTTAAGCAATTTTAAAGAATAAAATTGATAAAAGATTTTTTGAACAAAAATTATATTCAATTAAAAAACAAGAAAAATGCTTGGGGAAAATTTTTAACTGCCTGCAATTATTTGATTGGCTACTCTAAAAGATGCTTTATCATGTCAAAGATACAAATGATAGATAAAAAAAATTACCAATAAAGATTAATTTTGCATGCATTAAATCAATTTATTTGTATGTGTAATGTCATGTTAATAGCATCTGATAAGAATATGTAACTAATTTTTCATATATAAAATAATTGTTTATTCACTTCTGGACTTTGTCAAAGTAACATCAACCGTGGAGGGTATGTTGTTTTGTGGTACTTTCTTTGATCATCTTCTCATGAGGGTCCTACCTTTCTATTCATGGGCTGGGCATTTATATAACTTCTGTCATCTTATGTGTGGATATCAGAAACTCAGCTGGGTTGACTTATAGTTTATGTTGACACAATGACTGACATCCATTGAGGCCCAATTCTGCACTTGGCACCTAGGAGGTTACCATATAGATCAAGATGCAGGGTTCTTTTTGTGTTTTGATATGGCTTAATTTGGTATCTCTTAAGGTGCATCTAGTACATTGAGGGTTACCACAGATCGACCCCCTTTTAGATCAAAGTGCATAACTGTTACCTTTACTCTTATTGTATTGGTTTTTACAATAAGCATTTTATCTACCGTGATGTTCAAATATATATTCCTATTAGCATGGAATATAACAAATTATTTATATAATATATCTTCTATGTGCTATGTCCCTTCAAGATGTGGGTACTCATGGCTCTCCACAATATCCTCTCCCTTGAAGCTCTTAGTAATGTTTGTCTTTTTATCATTCCCCATTCTGCCATCCATTCATATCAACTTATCAGGTAGTTGACTCACTGTCTCCACTTTTTTCCTTCTGCCTTTGATATGGGCTGTGAGTGTCAAATTTTCCAAACCCTCCTTCCTCATTATGTGTCCAAGAAATTTCAGCTGTCTCTTTCTGGTTCTAAGTGTCAAATCATCCTTACAATATAAGTGTGAAAGCAATCGAAAAACTCAATGATTAAATCCAATTCTTTGTACCATTTTGGAGTGAAGAACTAATGAAAATTGTAAAAAACAGAGAACAACAAAAGAAACCATTTATGGTATTTAAATTTTTTTGAAATGAAAGAAGATAAAAGTAAAAACAGTGTAAACCAAGACCACAATTCTAACGCTTTGAAAGTAAATCATTTTGATCTCTTATTTATACTTCTAATGTCTCCCTTCATTATCCTGACATTAGAGAACCACTTACTTTGCATGTGTGTCTAAAGAATAGGGATGCACAAGTAGATAATGGAACTTTTATAGTCTTTGATCTTTGCATCTTTTCATTTTCTGTTCTTTTGTTTCTGTTTTGATGAACCTGTCTTTTATTAAACGATAATCGCTCGTGTAACAAAATATA